GATAATCTATCCGTTGAATCAAAATAGACTATCCGTTGCATTTGCTGGCTTCAATTTTGAATGAAGATTGTGATTTGAAGATTCCTCATTGGAATGGGTGTTTGGACATACCCAATTGTTAAAGGAGAGATTCCTTTTTCCATAGAGTCCGTCTTCTAGCTGTTGTTCAAGTATTCTGGACTGTAGAACTTTACTCTGTTTGTCTTCTAGTGCTTGTTTAGGAGTTCTGGACAGGTTCTTCAATTCTTAGAGGTCCAGACTTTGTCTTCGAGTCATTTGTTCTTGAATCAGCATAATTATCTTCAATCTAGCCGTTGAAAATCAAGAGATTCATTTTTCCTTACCAACGGGTAGAATTTCTTCATTCAAGACTTAGATAATTTTCTAAGTCTTTTCTCACTTGTCCGCTTTTTGAGAATTCCGGTCTTCCCTGAGGCATCCGGTTCTTAGCTGACAAATCCGGAAGAGTCATACTTAGTTTTCCTGGTGAGAAGGAAATCCGCGCTAGTCTTCCGACTTAGCCTTCAGCGGGTTGTAATGAGACATCCGGTTCTCATGTAGTATTCCGGATAGGAGGATCTTCGTCTGCTTTGAGAGATCCTTACTTGTCTCTGACATTTCCGATCAAGATATCCAATTTCCAAATTTCTGAATTTGATTAAGTCTTCAGGCATCAAACCGTTTAAAGAAATATCAACACTTTATTGGAAGTCTCAAGAACTTGGTTTTAACAATATTTCTAAAAGGAAAAATTACATTGAATATCTGGGGAAACCTAAAGTCCCTATTACATTCTAAATACATCATTATCAAAATCTATGATATTTTTCCCAACAACAACAAAAAACCAGACATTAAAACGCAATTGCATTAACTCAAAACACGACCTAGAGTCTGACCTAAAAATTAAAATCCAACGGATTGTACCCGCAAACCTAACGCAAATTTGATTGTCAAACACTAAAGTTAAAAGTCAACCTAGAACCTAACCCAAAACCAAACCAAAAATCAGGGTAAATTTCACAAATTGTACCTGAACTTTAGCTGGAATTTCGAAGTGGTACCTGAACTTCAAATCTTTTCACAAAAATCCCTGAACTTACACAATCCTTTCACTAATGAGCCATTAGCCCGTTTCTAGGTTAACTTCCGGTCATTAGGGCCAAATTTGAATTTTATATATTTTAAAATTTTCAATTTGACCCCATTTCTTCTTTTCTTTTCTTCCACGCCCCGCCGCCGCCGCCTGCCGGTCAAAGTCGCCGGTAAATGAACTTTTTCCGATTCCGTCGGGACCAATGTCATTCTCTTCGTCTTGAGACGAGGATCAATAATATCCAAACCATTTTGTCTAATTTGGCCTGTAACTTCTCGAATCTGAATTTTTCTACTCGAAAAAACCCTAAAATTCGAAATTGGATCCAAAATTGGGGGTTTGCAAATCTTCATCAAATCTTGCAATTGAGGGGTCCTTGGAAGTCGCCCGGATGCCACGACCGCATTGGAGTTGGTGTCCGCCGTCAATTTTGCCGGATTTAGCCGGAAAACGCTTCGACCCGCCGGCAATTTCGCCGGATTTAATCAGGTACGATGCGCAGCTAAAGGAATCTCTTTTCATATTAATTTTGTGATAACGAGAAGATAAATACTTCAACCTGCACCATAAAAAGAGCTCAAGATGAATGTCATGTAAGCTCTGCCATTTTGACCATTGATGTGAAGCTATTGTGTTGTTGAGCAGGTGGACTTGGAAAAATAAATAGCAGTAGATGATCTCTCTCATATATAGAGAAGATTATAATGTCGGTGTAAAGTCAGAGGAAAATTTTCATATAACAAAAGGACCAGTTTTCTTAGACATAAATGATTTAGCATAACTAGAACGAAATGATCTTAGAACTTTATTTCAGCTCTTTTCTTCAAAGCATCCAAGATGTAATTAGCAACGGGTTAGACTTGGGAACCTTATTTCCTCTTCAGGGCTTCCTAAAACTTTTCAGATTCTTAGGGTTTCATCACCTGCAGTACATGAAGAGTGCAACCATCTAGGCTCTGCATCACAAACATATGACTGAGTATATTAATCAGGTACGGTGCCCAGCTAAAGGAATCTCTTTTCATATTAATTTTGTGATAACGAGAAGATAAATTCTTCAACCTGCACCATAAAAAGAGCTCAAGATGAATGTCCTGTAAGCTCTGCCATTTTGACCATTGATGTGAAGCTATTGTGTTGTTGAGCAGGTGGACTTGGAAAACGAAATAGCAGTAGATGATCTCTCTCATATATAGAGAAGATTATAATTTCCGTGTAAAGTCTCGGAAAAAAAATAGTATTGATGTCAGCTTTCAGAGTGATATGTAAGAAATCTTATATTCTTATATTTTCTTAAACTACTTCAAAGCCATTACATCAAATAATACAGATAGGCGATTAATAGATTTGTTACAAACCTGTAATGTGGTAGGACTGAGAAGTAGACACCTGTGAGTAACGGTCACCCTTTTACTCAAAATTATTGGGTGTCGCCCACTCTCTAAAAGGGATGATATATCCCGGCTTTGATTCATTACGAAATCTTCCCAAAGAGTCAACACAGCTGGTTTCATTCTTTTTAAGATGAAAGTAAAAAGGTTAGATATACACAATGTTAAGTAATTAGAATAACTATGTCATACTTACTCTTCGTTCACAAGCATGAAATCATGTGCGGTTTTGGCATGTCCTGGAACGGAGACATACTCTCTGCGCATTCTCTGAATCACAATGGCCATGAAATCTAAATGTAGCAAACATAAAAAAAGTTTAGATGTCACATCATTGTGATTTTCCATATTATGTTAATGAAGATTATTATTATTCAGATACTGATTGGGGTTTTAGACCCGCATCAGTCATAGAAGTCAAGAATGGTGTGAGGATAGTGTCTGTCTCATTGGTTGCCTGAATTTGTTCTTATTTTGGGGCTGCCTCAATCCAAGTCTTTTTACTCAACATCCAAATGTAACTATAGTTTGCGGATGGGGGATCACCACTATACTTGGTTAGGCATGGCAGCAACATTGCTTATGTAGTACGTGTTTTTGAGATCGAGTATCTTATCAATTTGTTCAATGTCACCACTATTTGCGAGAGCAAGAACCTTCATACCCTGTACGGAAATGGTTGAATTGAACATAATTAATGCAAGTAATATGTACACTCTAAGATTGATTATTTTATAAGCGTTATAAACTTATCTCCTCATCCTGCAATATAAAACGTCTGTACTTGTTAGGGCTCGTCCTTGAGTCTTTGACGTTCCGCTTCTCCACAACTCTAACCTTACATGTCCATTCCTTTTTGTTGTCATTTATTCTACTGATCATTCGTGTCTCCATAACTAAAATCATTTATAAAAAAAGTTTTATAAAATTTGAATAACCTTTTAGATTACTATCATATGATACGAATTCATATTTTTTAAAGGAAAAATCTATAAAATATTTAATAATATCACTTGAAAAAGAAAAAGGTTCTTACTTGTAAATGGTTTTTACACTTACAAATAGGTTTCAAAAAATGTTAAAAATTAGACATAATTGAATAGCATGTTACAATGTACCATTGAATACGAACACTGGCAGTGGTAGGTTGTGGGTTGGGTTTCGATTTTTTTTTGTTTGGGACTGGTGTTTGGGGTTGGTTTTAGGATAGACTCTAGGTTGGGTTTTGATCATTTGGGTTTAGAGTTTAGGCACGTTTTTGGGTCAGGGTTTTGTGTTTTGGTTTTGTGTGTGGTGATTGGAACACTTTACCTTTGTGTTTTGATTTTGGCTTTTGTGATTGGGACTTGTTTTTGGGGTTTGGTTTTGGGGCTGGTTTTTGGGTTGTGTTTTGACTTTAGGATTAAGAGTTGGGGTCTATCTTTGGGATGGGGTTTTGTATCTGGGTTGTCGGGTCACTAAAATTAATAATTCTGTTTTGGCTTTGGCTTTTGCATTTAGGGCTGGGTTTTGGTGCTGGTTTTTAGGACTCGTTTGTTGGGTTTTGACTTTTGGGTTTAGACTTTGGGTTTGTTTTCGTGTCGGGTCACTCAAACTAAAACTAAAAGATCGTTGAAGGAAGACACATATTGTGAACCTAGGTATTACCAACCTAATATGATAAAATAAATTGAGAAAGTTAAACACAGTTCAGAACAAAAAATGATTTATGATTTTAAATTTTTAACCCATAAATGGAGTTCAAAGACTGTGTTTCATAATATCGTTATGTAGAATCTGGGTTAGGCTTTGGCGTTTGTGTTTGGGACTGGTTTTTGGGCCTGGGTTTTGGGTACACTCTAGGTTGGGTTATAGAGTTTGGGATTGTTTTTCAGTCTGGTGTTAGATATAATCGGGTTTGTTCACATATAACCAAATGGGTAATGAGTCAATGTTCGGGTCAGTTAGTATAGAGTCAATTAGTGTGGAGTCGTTTAGTGTGTTTTACATATTTAATTAATTAAAAAACAGTGGGTAGTTTCTAAAAGGCAGTTATGGGTAGTTTCTATTGTTAATAGGTGTGTTGGTTTGTAATAGTTGTGTTGGTTAGTAAAAGTCATGTTGGTCTGTTCTCTATTTATACTTAGAGAACACAAATAATCCTGTAACAGTTTTACATCAATAAAATATTCTACTTTGATTTGATTTGGTCGGTTGGTCCTGTCTAACAATTGGTATCAGANGTAATGAGTCAATGTTCGGGTCAGTTAGTATAGAGTCAATTAGTGTGGAGTCGTTTAGTGTGTTTTACATATTTAATTAATTAAAAAACAGTGGGTAGTTTCTAAAAGGCAGTTATGGGTAGTTTCTATTGTTAATAGGTGTGTTGGTTTGTAATAGTTGTGTTGGTTAGTAAAAGTCATGTTGGTCTGTTCTCTATTTATACTTAGAGAACACAAATAATCCTGTAACAGTTTTACATCAATAAAATATTCTACTTTGATTTGATTTGGTCGGTTGGTCCTGTCTAACAATTGGTATCAGAGCAAAAATCCAATAAGGACCCAACGATCAAAGGGAGTGGTCTGTCTTGTGATCAGGAGTTGTATGATCGCGTGTAGAAGGGCTGCCAGATCATAATACAAAGTGTTAGAGACTTCATCGACAACAGATCAAAAATCTTTGACTAGATTCTTCCTCGCCTAGGGCAAAAATAGTAGGGGATAGTTTTTCCCTTTGGCAGAAGCATTCCATCCAAACAGTGCGGGGAAAAACGAATCAGCGGGGTAGCTTTCGTTTAGTGGCTTGGAAGACGGAAAAGCAAGGGCTTGTTTTCTGGTTGATGGTGGATTGCAGGTGGCTTACGACCCGGGAAGGAATCGAAGTTAAGAATGTTGTGAAAATTGTCGAAGGAATAAAAGTCGTGCAATGGGAGAACAACAAAAATAGACAGATTGTGACTACAAGGGAGAATAGTTAACAGTTTGCCAACCTTAACCCGAGGAAGAAGATATGCAAGGTAGACTTCAGAAACAACACATAATAAAAATCTAAAAACTAAGCAGCAGAATAGTAAGCAAAAAAACATCATACCTAAACCTCTATCGTCCGTTACGTTACGCTCCGTTTAAAATTTGTCCCGTATAATTGGAGATTAATGGCCAGTTAACTCCGTAAAAATGGACTAATTTTAAACAATACGTAAAATTAATAAAAGAAGATTGGTTCAGTAAAATTGCAAAAATTGCAATCCTCACCATATTCTTTTATTAACGGGTTAACTCTGAGAATCAATTTCTCATTCACCTTCTACCATTTTTGGCGTATAAATTGTCAAAACATTAATCTCATTTAAGAGAACACATGTCCATTAATCAACGGTTAGTGGACCTATTGACAAATATACCCAAATTGGTCCATTTAATGCCTATTAAAAAATGCCAAAAATTCCAACAACTAGTTATTCACTTCATCTATATTTCATTTTTCCTTGTTTGACCTATTTATCTTTTTATGTTTAATCACTTAATGCTTAAAGAATTAAAATATAGAGAAAGTGTTAAAATATGAGTTTCATGTTTTTATTCTCTAAATATACGTTCGCTTTGTGGTAATATAACACTTTACATAGGCATTTGTTGTAATGTACATGGTCATGCCTGGTAATGTAAATGTATTTTAATTCAGATTTTGTAAATAAAAACATGAAAAACTAAATTCTATTTTGTTACATTTTCATTTTTTACTCCCACTTTAGAGAAAGTACAAACATCGGAGCTCCATTTTTTTATTTTCAAAATAGAGTTTGCATTGTGGCAATATAACATGTGGACATGTGGTACAAATACTTGTGGTCTTATAGACATGTAGCGCGACTAATGAGAAAAAAGTTGGATCCCCGACACAAATGTCGATTTTTTTAAATTTTTTTAAGAGTTTGTATGGCAATATACGAGATTGTGACAAATTGCAACACCCACGGTGACAATTTCAGTAGGTTGCAAGGGCAGCGGCGGCGACAGTGGTAGCTGTAATAAAGGAGGCAAGGACATTATGAGTACACTAGGGTGGTATTTTTTTTAAAGAAATGTCATGTTTTTAATAATTTTATTTTTAAATACATACATGTGTGTTTGTAAGATAAGTGCCCAGTACATATTATTATATTAAAAAATTTTAAGGAGTATCATTTCATTGGCCGACACGTGTTCTTGATTTTAAAAACAAATTGGAAGAACTATGTTCTAGTTGAATGAATGAAAGTATGAAACTCAAACTTGAACCAAAATACGGAACTCGTACTTGGGGGGTAATTTAGGAAACTCGTGCCAAATTTAGTCCTACTAAGGGAAGTTTATGTTTTGACTCCTATTTTGGTATATCTATAATGTTTTGGTCCTATTTAATTCTTTCTCCCATTTGCATTTTGTTGAAAGTACCGCCAAGCTCCAGCCAATAAAGAAGACTCGGCATGAACCCTGTCATCAAATAGGACATCAAAGAGGTTAATAAATAGGAAAATCTCTTACCAAGGTGAATATTGTCAAATTGACTCTCCAGCCAAGTATATCTGTAATATTTTTTGTTATTGTGTTGTGTTTAAATTTTAACGTGGTGGAACTCATGTACTCAAAAATAAATTTTCTACCACGTTTCTTGACCTTTTGGCTAAGATCATCAAAAAGGTCTAAGGGATCCTAGTGAGACTGTTCCACAATTAAATGTTTTAGTCTACAAAAACATTATATATATATATATATATATATATATATATATATATATATATATATATATATATATATATATACACACACATATATACATATACATATACATATATATATATATATATATATATATATATATATATATATATAATATTTTTGTTCTTGGGTGATTGATTTGTTTTGTTCAAAGTTTCACATGGCGGATGTGAGCGATGAAGGTAGTGGTTATATAACAGCATCGAAAAGCTCGAGCCTAAATATTCGTCTTAGATTGTATTTGAATTGTTTGGAGCTTCAAATTATATAGATCCAAGAGGTAAAATCATTTCATAATTTAAAATATGATAATATAATAGATATAGTACTTTTTGTGATATTTTAATTTTACTTAAAGAAAAATGCATGTGTTAATATGAACTTAAATTTTGTTTAAAATCAAAGTCATAACCCATTGCGTCGACCCAAACCGAATGATAATGGTGATAACATATAGTTCTCTACTTGAACCTGCATTGACTCGAACATGAAGTAGTCCGAACCCGAAGTGACCTGAAATTTTTAAAAATGAAGTCATAAGTTGTTGGGCCAACCCATAGTCCGAGGCCCAATTATAAGAGGAGGCTGTGGTGTTAATATTCCTTACCTTACATCTTATTCAAGTGAATATGATGATCTTGCAAATATTCAACTAAACAAACCATTTGAACACAACACCAATGGCAAATCTTCAAAGAAAAACTGTAGTTTTAATATTTTAAAAAAATCACACTTTGAACTGTTTGCTAATGAGTCAAATGAAGAGTCCACTTTTTAAAAAGGAAAAAAATAATATTAAAGAACACACCTTTTGTTTTTCAAAACCCACAAACCCTGGCACGCTGGGCAATAGATGTTCTAACACTGTCATGGCTGCAAACACGCCCACTGGGATGTATTCCCTGCCAAATTACAACTAAGATCAATTAGCCACCAAAACTTAGCAATTAGCAACGGGTTAGACTTGGGAACCTTATTTCCTCTTCAGGGCTTCCTAAAACTTTTCAGATTCTTAGGGTTTCATCACCTGCAGTACATGAAGAGTGCAACCATCTAGGCTCTGCATCACAAACATATGACTGAGTATATTAATCAGGTACGGTGCGCAGCTAAAGGAATCTCTTTTCATATTAATTTTGTGATAACGAGAAGATAAATTCTTCAACCTGCACCATAAAAAGAGCTCAAGATGAATGTCCTGTAAGCTCTGCCATTTTGACCATTGATGTGAAGCTATTGTGTTGTTGAGCAGGTGGACTTGGAAAACGAAATAGCAGTAGATGATCTCTCTCATATATAGAGAAGATTATAATGTCCGTGTAAAGTCTAGGAAAAAAATAGTATTGATGTCAGCTTTCAGAGTGATATGTATGAAATCTTATATTCTTATATTTTCTTAAACTACTTCAAAGCCATTACATCAAATAATACAGATAGGCGATTAATAGATTCGTTACAAACTTGTAATGTGGTAGGACTGAGAAGTAGACACCTGTGAGTAACCGTCACCCTTTTACCCAAAATTATTGGGTGTCGCCCACTTTCTAAAAGGGATGTTATATCCCGGCCTTGATTTATTGTGAAATCTTCCCAAAGAGTCAACACAACCGGTTTCATTCTTTTTAAGATGAAAGTAAAAATGTTAGATATACACAATGTTAAGTAATTAGAATAACTATGTCATACTTACTCTTCGTTCACAAGCATGAAATCATGTGCGGTTTTTGCATGTCCAGTAACGGAGACATACTCTCTGGGACATACCCTCTGAATCACAATGGGCATGAAATCTAAATGTAGCAAACATAACAAAAGTTTAGATGTCACATCATTGTGGTTTTCCATATTATGTTAATGAAGATTAAAATTTTTTCACAAACTGAATGTGGTTTTAGATTCGCATAAGTCATAGAAGTCAATGAATGGTGTGAGGATAGTGTCTGTCTCATTTGTTGCCTGTATTTGTTCTAATTTTGGGACTGCTTCAATCCAAGTCTTTTTACTCAACATCCAAATGTAATAATAGTTTGCGGATGGGGGAACACCACTATACTTGGTTAGGCATGGCAGCAACATTGCTTATGTAGTACGTGTTTTTGAGGTCGAGTATCTTATCAATTTGTTCAATGTCACCACTATTTTCGAGAGCAAGAACCTTGGTACCCTATACAGAAATGGTTGAACGGAACATAATTAATGCAAGTAATATGTACGCTTTAAGATTGATTATTTTATAAGCTTTATAAACTTACATCCTCACCCTGCAATAGAAAAGGTCTGTACTTGAAAATGTTTAGTGTATGTTACCCTATAGAGAAATGGTTGAACGGAACATAATTAATGCAAGTAATATGTACTTTATTTGAAAATGTTTAGTGTATGTTACACATAAAAAATTAATTATAGTAATATTTTTTTACAATTGAAAACTTTAAATTAAATAAATAAAACCGAATTTAAAAAAAATAAAAAAATTAAATTTATTCGGTCCGGTCCCGGTCCGGTCCGGTCCCGGGCCGGTCCTTACCTTAAGCAGTACGGTCCTCGGTCCTCAGCCCAAAGCACCAGACCCAAAAACCGGGTTTGACCTGATGAACACCCCCATACACCACAACCTAAAATGATAAAATAAATTGGAAATTGAGAAAGTTAAACATAGTTCAGAACAAAAAATGATTTATGATTTTAAATTTTTAACCCATAAATGGAGTTCAAAGACTGTGTGTCATACCCTTTTGTAGAATCTGGGTTAGGCTTTGGCGTTTGTGTTTGGGACTTGTTTTTGGGCCTAGGTTTTTGGTAGACTCTAGGTTGGGTTATAGAGTTTGGGATTGTTTTTGAGTCTGGGACATTGGGTTTACTATCCGGGTTTTGGGTCTGGTGCTTTGGGCTGGTTTTTGGAAGAATGATGTTCCAAGTTCTTGCAGATTTAGGCGTATCTGTAATTAAAAAATGTTTTTTCTTTACTTCTACTAATCGGGACAAACAACACACCTATAAACAAACCAAATAACTAATATCATTCTACCTGGGAGGATGCCAGCTATTACACCTAAATTAATATCTGGGTTGATGGGTCAGTGAAATTAATAAAAGATTGTTGAAGGGAGACACATATTGGCTGAGAGGATATTGATAGATAATGAAACTCATGGGTCGGAACAGTAGCCTTTAAATTATGCCAGTTATTTCTTTGAGATGTGGTACGTTTGAATGGTAACTATTCAGTTTCATACATTTGGAAGTGTCGTTTATTTTCATACTGTCCTACAGCTTAAAGACATTTTAATTTAATTTATAGACGAATAACAAAATTCACCACACATACTTCATGGTTTGTTTTAGATTTTTATGAAATTACTGAATTTCAAGCACTTTAAAAAGAGCACATAAATAAAAAGCACTTCCAGATTACCTAACATATAAATGGATTTCAAACACTTTCAAACAACACCAGGATTTCAACCATTTGCATAATGGATTCCAAGCACTATCAAAGACGCCCTTATTATGAGGCAATGATTTAACATAGAAATGGAGTGCAAAGAGTTCAGAAACAACACATAATAAACATCTGAAAACTAAGCTGCAGAATAGTAAGCAAAAAAACATCATACCTAAACCTCTATGGTTTCAATGAATGGATTGAATTTAAATTACCTCAAGAATGATGTTCCCAGGTCTTGCAGGTTGACGCGTACCTATATACGTAAAATGATCGTTTAGTTGCAATAATAGAAAGAAAAAAAACAAATACAAGAACAAGGCGAATAACTCACGTAATCAAACCTAGGAGGAAACCTGGAGATGGTGCCTCATCCCATATCCCAAAAATTGAAAAAACATATATTGTTGGTTAGAGGTTTACTATTTGGTATGCTTTTACTTCTTGTTTACAGGATTTAAGTCTTGAGTCTCGGTTTGGTTACTCGAGGTTAGTTTCTAGGTTTGGGTCAGAGTTTTTGTTTTCCTGGGAGTGGGTTTTGGGTTTAGATCTGCATTTTAGGCTTTGGTAGATCAGAGCTGGGCTTGGATCATTGAACGACTTTGGAACATGACACATGATTCTAAAATATGTAACCCTTTTATTCCTTGATAGAGTAAAGTTTCAGAGATTATAATGAAAAAATAAATTCAAAACAACTACCATTTGAATTGCTAATGGTATAAACCAAATTTCAAATAATATCATACAAATTCAGAAAGTGTATTTGGAAGTAATGGTATGGGTGAAAAATATTTTCAACATAGTCTTTAAGAAATCTTGATAGTATTTAGAACCACAACAAAAAACAAGACTGTAAAACGCAATAGCCTTAACTCAAAACACGACCTAGAGTCTGACCTAAAAATTAAAATCCAACTGATTGTACCCGCAAACCTAACAAAAGATAGACCGTGTTTAATAACAAGAACACCATACGAGTAAAATCACACAAACGGGGTCGGGGGATGGGAGTATGCATACCTTACTGCATGAAATTTTCACCGCTTTGATCAACCTTTGCTAGCTAATCTCAGCTTTAGAATGCGCAGACTACGAACAAACAACACAGGGTTAGATTGATACACACAGCAAAGATATGAAATTTAGTGTATCCATCAACCATGCACGAGAGATATCGAATTTGGTGTATCCATCAATCATGCAAGGGAGATATCAAATTCAGTGTATCCATCAATAATTGGGAAAAAAGTTTGAAATTTGGGAAAAAGTAACAAACCTAATTTTTTTCGTAGCGTATTACTCAATCGAGTAAAACAAGAAAGTTCAACTCACTAATATGATGGTCAAGTTCATGATTGGTTTAGTTTAAATCCATGAGAGAGTGCAATTATAGAAATTAAGAAACGATCTTAGTGACTCACAAGTACTGTAACAATGTGTGAAGAAGATCAGAGACCATAACAGCATTTTGCATCTATGGGAATCAGAGAGCCTAGTGATGCAAAACACCCAGTAATTGAGTATCCATTGAAATAGCAACCTGTTAATCAATCAAAGGAAGTTAAATCTCAAAAAGGTTGCATAACAAATATCTTTGTTCTATTGTTTGGATTTTTTTTCTTTTGGAATTATTAATGTTTTCAGTACCTGATTTATTGGGTAGTATGCGTCCAGCGGTCCTGTCCAGCAAGAGTACCTGCAATAGGGAAGCGTTAATGGTGTTGTGGAGTATTTCGTGTATTTTTTGTGTTTCTTAAATTGTTTAAAATGGTGAATGTGCATTTGGTTAAAGTTTATGTCAAATTGTCAATGTGTTGTAGAATTTCATTGTATACTATGTTGTCTGTTGTTGAAGTAAATCTGTCCTGCTGCTCATACAATTTGATAGTATTCAGAACCACAACAAAAAACAAGACACTAAAACGCAATTGCCTTAACTCAAAACACGACCTAGAGTCTGACCTAAAAATTAAAATCTAACGGATTGTACCCGCCTATGTTGCACGGAAACTCCATATAGGCTGCCGTACCCGTTTCGGACACCTTGGACACGCCGACACGCCACAGACACGCCTGGAGACGTCTCGGAAACTCCACGTGGCGTTTCTGTAATTTTAATATTTTAAAAAGAGAAAAAAACTCCAAGGAAACGGCTGGGACACGCGTGTCTCTTTTAGGAAACGGCAGGGACACCTCTTTTTAAAAAAATGGGGTTCTTTTTATAAATTTTAAAAGTTTTGGAACTGACTCAAATTATAAAAAGTATTATCTGGCCCTAAATCTTCATCGCTCCTCTGTGTTACGCGGCTATCATATTCATCAACAATAGACAGCGGCCCTCGAAAAAGCTTTACGCAGCTGGTTGGCCAACTACTCGCCGACAAAGGGCGCGACATCAGGTGAAGTGTTCTCTCCAAATAAGCTTCTCGCCGACAAGGGGAGAAGCTTTTACGCCGCTGGTCAGTGACTTCTGGATTTTATGTTATGTATTTTGAACTTATTTATGCTTTAATATGTTTTGTAATGACTAAATTATGTTATCTCTTTCGAACTTATACTTTAATATGTTTTGTAATGACTAAATTATGATATGTCTTGTGAACTTATACTTTAATATGTTTTGTAATGACTAAAATATGTTATGTATTGTGAATTGGTTTACATAATTTTATTTATATATATAATTTTTATATATAAATTTGGCGTTTCCCCGGTGTTTCGTCTCTTCATTTTTTCAAAATAGCCGTTTCGGCGTGTCCGTTTCGTTTCGTCTCCGTCCCTGTTTCCGTTTCAGTGCTACATAGGTACCCGCAAACCTAACGCAAATTTGATTGTCAAACACTAAAGTTAAAAGTCCACCTAGAACCTAACCCAAAACCAAACCAAAAATCAGGTCCAATCCCCAAAGTAAGAAACAATATCCCTACCCAGAACCTAACCCAACAACCAATTGCAGGGGAACATTAAGTAATTCCCATGTTTAAAAATTGTGAATAAGTACAAAAGGAATGAATATGACATTAACAGGCTTTAGGAATGAAGACCAACCATTGTCTGTGGCGTTTGACAGGGTAAATATAGAAGGTTTAGTGGAAGCTGAAAGTCACATGGCCTTAAGCACCTATTTGTAATAGAGTGGTTTTGATTAGAGTGCAGCAGTTCATATTAAGCCAATTTTTTTGGGAGATATCCGACAAAAAGTGGAAAACCAATACCGGTACATGGTGAAATTTCCATTTTGTTGATTAGTGGAGGCGTTGAAATTTCCATTTTGTTGATTAGTGGAGGCGTTGAAAATTCACACATTAAATGATTAATAGGGGTAGTAGTAGTTGCAGGACTGTAAAACAAAGTAGTAGGAGTCATCTTTGTCCATTCAGCTTCAATTACACAAAATAGGGCCTGCAAAATATTGACAATTAGGTTAAAGTACGGGGCAATCTTTATTCTAGGCTGGATTGCATTTTTGCAATTTGTCTAATTAGGGGTATTGATTTGCAATTCAATCAATAAGGGGTGCTGAAAGAACAAATATGATCTCACAACAAAGGCATAAGAAGCGGTTGTTTTTGGTGTTCCCTGCCCTTCACAATTTAAATACAGTAGTTTTAGGAAAAGGTCATAAAGAAGAAGATAATACCTGATGGGTTAGGCGGAGTTGCTCAATAGATGCACCATGACTGGTGAACGGGCGCAAACTTGTCAAAATGCGTCCAAAATTGAATCTAAAATGTTTCTTCTTCGTACTGGCTCATTCGTGCACAGAAGGGAACGACGGACCTAAGAAAGAGAGGCTTGAAGACGGAAGAAGAAATGGAGAATAGCGATTGCTCCGTTTGGATTGCAGCAGTTACGGGTAAAAACACAAAGAGTAACTTTATGTAAATCTTGGTACGGTCCTCGGTCCACAAAGTTTCTCTTATTCGGTCCTCAGCCCAAAGCACCAGACCCAAAAACCGGGTTTGACCTGATGAACACCCCCATACACCACAACCTAATATGATAAAATAAATTGGAAATTGAGAAAGTTAAACATAGTTCAGAACAAAAAATGATTTATGATTTTAAAATTTTAACCCATAAATGGAGTTCAAAGACTGTGTGTCATACCCTTATGTAGAATCTGGGTTAGGCTTTGGCGTTTGTGTTTGGGACTGGTTTTTGGGCCTGGGTTTTGGGTAGACTCTAGGTTGGGTTATAGAGTTTGGGATTGTTTTTTAGTCTGGGACATTGGGTTTACTATCCGGGTTTTGGGTCTGGTGCTTTGGGCTGGTTTTTGGAAGAATGATGTTCCAAGTTCTTGCAGATTTAGGCGTATCTGTAATTAAAAAATGTTTTTTCTTTACTTCTACTAATCGGGACAAACAAAAACCTATAAACAAACCAAATAACTAATATCATTCTACCTGGGAGGATGCCAGCTATTACACCTAAATTAATATCTGGGTTGATGGGTTAGTGAAATTAATAAAAGATTGTTGAAGGGAGACACATATTTGCTGAGAAGATATTGATAGATAATGAAACTCATGGGTCGGAACAGTAGCCTTTAAATTATGCCAGTTATTTCTTTGAGATGTGGTACGTTTGAATGGTAACTGATGGACAATAAACCCACCAAATGATCCGGTTTACAAAGCGGATCGTAAGAACAAAATTAAGAACAAGAATTCGAGAATTGGATGTGTATTACTAGCTTGATTTAGCTTGAGTTCTCCCCTTTCGGGTCCCCTCTATTTATACATGAGCTCTAAACAATTAAGGTGAAGCATAACCGATGGAGTCTAGCCCGCCAAGGGCACGATCCCCTTTTCCCGGCTCCGTAACGGTCAATCAGCTCTGTCTCCTTCTCCGGACTGACTCTGCCAGCTGTGCTTGGCCTGAGGTTAACTAGGCCCAGCACCTTGGGCCTGCCCAGCTTGAGTATTTCACAGGTGCTTGACCCGAAGTTGTTTAAATGGTTCATTTGGGCCGTCCTCTGGATATCGGCCCATCATAAGGCCCCCCAACTCCTCAGTCCTCAGATGGGCCAAGCGGAGTAGTGGGGAGTTTGCAAAGTCCACGTGGACGCTTCAGCGGGGATCCGGGCCGTTCCTTGGGTTCCGCACGACATTTGGGCACGATCTCCACAAATAAGTAATCATGGCCTGCCGATTCGCCTTCCTGTTGTCAGTTAAAAACCGCCGCTGGACGCCATCTCTTCCTTTCGCCTTCTTCACCACCGTTCGTCTGCAACTCCGCTGCTCACCCGACTCATTCTTCTTCCTGTCCAGGTCAGTTCCTTCTCTCGCCGCCATGATTATCCCAGATTCCGATTCGGCTACCCCATCATCCAATTCTCGCCAAGCCGGTCAATCGGCCTCTGACCGTAACCCCGGCCACACTCCATCACCCCGGCCGTCGCAGTCGGCCGTGCCTGGCCACAAACGGCGTCGATTGAGGAAGCAATACCCTTCTTCAACTCCGGTAGATGAGGGCTCAAGGGTTAAATTGGACGAAAACATCATGGCGTTGTGCCATTGTCAAATTACTGACCGGGGGTTCGCCGATGCCACTGACATGGTTGGACCCTCCATCGAGGTCATGAGACCTACCCGTACTCAAACTGCTCTAGACGCACCGTCGGGGTTCTTCACGGTCCATCTGGCGTCTTTGAAGAAGGGGTTGCGCTTCCCACTCCACCCGTTGTTGATCGAATTCCTCAACGTGGTGGACCTTCTCCCGTGCCAACTGGTCCCCAACTCTCACCGGTACATCGCCGGTTACCTGGTCCGGTGCAAAGATGTAGGGGTGAAGCCGACCTTGGACCATTTCATATTCACCTTCAAACTGACCAAGGGCCATAAAGATTGGGCGTCCTATGCCAGTCTTTCCCAGAGNACGGTCCATCTGGCGTCTTTGAAGAAGGGGCTGCGCTTCCCACTCCACCCGTTGTTGATCGAATTCCTCAACGTGGTGGACCTTCTCCCGTGCCAACTGGTCCCCAACTCTCACCGGTACATCGCCGGTTACCTGGTCCGGTGCAAAGATGTAGGGGTGAAGCCGACCTTGGACCATTTCATATTCACCTTCAAACTGACCAAGGGCCATAAAGATTGGGCGTCCTATGCTAGTCTTTCCCAGAGGTCCAGTAAACTCTTTGCTAGTGATAAGAAGGGGTCAACCAAAAACTGGAAGCCTTTCTTTGTCTTCGTTTCGACGGGGCCCGAATCTCCTTTCACGGGTTCAGGGCGCCCTTCCTTCAGTCACATCCCACGCCCCCCACCTGATGCCACCCTTTTGTCTATCACTCGCCAATTCTGCAATAAGGGAGTTATGAACATCAAAGAGGTGGTGACAGAGGAAACCCTTGCCGAGTTGGGGTTCGAGTTTGTCCAGGATGAGCTTCGCCACCAACCCGACCTATTGAGGGACATCCCCGGGGGGCATCAGCCTGACCAGCTGAAGGACATTCCTGAGGAAGGTCTTGACTGTGGTCCTTTTGGTAGGTGACCTTTTCTCTTGCCCAGATGTTTAGTTTATCTTTTCCCAAGGTTGACCATTTCCTTCGGAATGATTTGTCGTTTTGATACAATGCTCCTATGTTGTTTGATTTTCTAGATTCACCACGTGCTTTCTCTCTTTGGCGCTTTACTTCAGCACTCTCTTTTTTGATTTAGCTAGTTAACATGTATGTCTTAGTTTGGGCCCAACTCCTAGTCCCAGCCCGTTTACCTGTCCGGGCTCAATCTCTGGATTGGCCATCGTGCCGCCCAATTGATCCAATGCCCTTCATCGTTTCTGATTGGACCTTCGCGCGGCTCAAATCTGCTTTATTGGTTCGGCTGCCTCGAGACTTGACCGCCTCTTCGGTTCCTTCGCCCTGGCTTATTTATAAGCCCCCCTGGCCTCTACTCTGCTCCATCACCAAATATCCTCCTTTTCTCCATTCTTGCCATGTCTGAAGGAATTCCTGTTTCTCTAGATCTTTCCGACGGGCCGTCTCCTTCTTCGCTGGAGCCTGCCTCCTCCCCCAAGTCAGTCAATTCCAACGACTGGGGGGGCTTGACCCTTACGAATTCTGTCGCCGATTGCCTCGCCGGCAGTGGCCGTCGGTGAAACCGCCGCCACCACCTCCAAACCCTTATAAAGACTTTAGTGAGGCGTACGAGGCCCTCTCCGCCAACCGCCTGCCTGACGGGCGGATTGACTGGGATGCTCCATGCCCCTCCATTCCCTGCAATGTATGGCCTGGGAGAGCTTTCAAGATGAGCACTTACCCCTCCTGGAGCATGAGTGCGCATACTACGCAAGTCTTGAGCAATGGACTAGCGAGAGTCGCACCGGTTCGCCGGTGAGGCCTACGGAGGAGGTTCTCCCCTACCTCGCCCCGCTTGCCATTCACTTCCCCAGAAGACCCCTAGGCGACTTGAAGTAGCCCGGGCGGCTCCAGGATCTCCGTCCTCGCCTAGGTGATGCTGGTTGGGGTTCACAGAGAAGTGAGCCGTCCCCCGTCCTTCCTTGGAAGGAGAACGGCGGGGGGTTTTTGCCGAGGCTGGGGGCGACCACTCCCGTTCCATGTTGGGGAAGAAAGGTGGTCGTCCTGGACGGCCGGTGATCGGAGTTTTGCCTGTCCATACAGCCGCAAAACTACCTTTCACACCTGCCTGTCCCCCCTAGACCTTCGCTCGCAAAATCTTAGATTGTTGTTTTTCATTGTAGGAGGTGTATGGGGAAGTATCCTTTCTTACGTAGAGATTGTTCTCAACTGTACTATAGTAGATGCAAGAGATTATCCTTGAAATGTAACGAACAATTCTGTGAATGTATTTTGATTTTACCTGTTTACTTACAAGTTTCACCTTCTTCTCTTTCGCATCCTACTCTTGCCATTCAGGTTTCCTCGGACTTGAATCAGAGAATACCTCGCCTCTTTTGACTTAGCCACATTCGGGTTACTTTGACCCTTGTGGCGTCGCCATACCCCCAAGATCCCCTAGTCGCTCATGCGATCAACAGATATTGTGTTCCAGACTTAGCCGTTCTCTCAGACTTTCTTGCCATGGCGTCGTCTTCAACCTTGGTCTCTTGACCGGGTTCGACGCTTCACCCATTACTGGGTGTCTTAGCATGAATCACCGTGCAATTTTAGCGATCTCTTGTGGTCGCTCCTTTTTTTTTTTGAGAATTGGAGACAAGATGTGCCAGAGAGCTGGATTTATTAAATCTCAAGAAAAGACATGGATGGAATACAATCTATTGATAAAATTTAATAAGGTTGGCGGCATTCCATACTCGCGGAACGTCGCCATCGGTTGGAGTCTGCAATCTAAATGTCCCATCAGCCAACACCTCCTTTATGATATATGGCCCCTCGAAGCTTTTAGCAAACTTTCCTCCATCGGTCGGCCGGCTGACCTCCCTCTTCCGAAGGACCCTGTCGCCCATCTTGAACTGCCTTGGTCGCACCCGCTGGTCGTGATATGACTTGACCTACCGGCGGTAGTTTTCTGCCCGCATATATGCCCTTTCCCTTCGCTCATCAATGAGGTGCAGCTCCGCCCTCAGGTTCTCCTCATTTTCTTCAGCATCAAACATATCTACTCTATAACTTAACAACGAGGACTCCGCTGGAGCCCTTGCTTCAAATCCATATGTGAGCGAGAAAGGAGTTTCACCTGTTGCCTTCCTTGGGGTAGTTCTGTAGGTCCACAAAATATAGGGCACTTCTTCCACCCAGGCACTTTTGCATTCCATTATCTTCTTCTTGAGGCCATCCATGATGGTACGATTGGTGTTCTCTACCTGCCCATTGGTTTGTGGGTACCCGACCGCTGCATAGCTTTGTTTTATGCCCCAGCTCTGTAGAAACTCATTGAACCCTCCGGCCTCGAATTGGGTTCCGTTGTCAGTGATGATCTGCTGGGGCACCCCAAATCGGCACAAGATTTGCTTGGAAACGAACTTCGTCATCTGTTCCACAGTGATGGTTGGCACGGGGGCGGCCTCGACCCACTTGGTGAAGTAGTCGATCGCGACCACCAGGTATGTGTTGTTCCCCGTCCCCCGAGGCAACATACCGACCAGATCGATGCCCCACCGGGCAAAAGGAATCGATGTTCTTATCGGGGTATAATTCGTCGCCGGTCGCCCTGGCATCCTCTGGAATTCCTGGCAAACTTTGCATTTGCGCACGTACTCTGCGCAATCTCTGATAATCGTTGGCCAAAAGTATCCTTGTAGGGTCACCTTCCTGGACATCATGAAGGCTCCCTGATGTGCTGAACATATTCCCTCATGGATTTCCTCCATTAACTTCTGTGCCTCGCCCGTTCTTAAGCACCTCAACAGTGTACCATTGTACGATCGTTTATACAACCGACCGCACTCCAGCGTGTAGCTGGGTGCACGTCGCTCCACCACCTTTGCCGCGATTGGGTCGATAGGTAGCGACCCGTCCAGGATGTACATGGTAATCTCGTCAATCCAATCCGGCTTCTCTCTGAGTGTGATGATCAGCACCTGTCCGGGACTGATGCTTGGCTCGAGCAACTCTTCTTCCTGGGTCATTGCCTTAATATGATCCGGAGAATCCGAACCAAGCTTTGACAAGATATCTGCCTCAGCGTTCTCTTCCCGATGAACCTGCTCTATCCAGTATGCCCCGAATGCTTTAAGCAACTCCAGGACAGTGTCTCTACACTTCTTCATTCGTTCATCCTTGGCCTCAAATTCTCCAGTGACGTGGCCTACCACTAGCTTGGAATCGCACCGGACTTGGATTCGCTCAGCTTTTAATGAGGCTGCCAACCTCAAGCCGCAAAGCAGTGCCTCATATTCAGCCTCGTTGTTTGAGACTTTAAACTGGAATCTCACGGAGTAGTATGCCTTGAACCCATCCAGAGATATCGCCACGACACCTCCCCCCGAAGCATCAGTCGCGGACGACCCATCGGTGTACACGGTCCACCAATTCTCCTCGGATTCTTCTCCACTAGATTCTACCTCCCTCGCAGTGCATTCTACCACGAAATCTGCTAATGCTTGCCCCTTTATCGCCGGTCGCGGCTTGAACTCTATTTGAAAGGATCCCAGGAACACTCCCCATTTGCTGACCCGTGACGGGGCATTTGGGCTTTGAAGAAGCATCCCGATGGGAATTTGTGATAACACATGGACCGGATGGGCTTGAAAATATGGGGTGAGCTTTTTCACCGTACATACTACCGCAAAGATGGTCTTCTCCATGTTGGTATATCTCAACTCCGCCCCTCGCAGCACTAGGGCCACATAGTACACAGGTCACTGCGCGCCCTCCTCCTCCCTCACAAGCACCGAGCTCACAGCTCGAGGAGAGATTCCTAAGTATAGGAACAAGGTCTCTCCGGGCTCTTGCTTTGAAAGCACTAGTGGGGAGAGGAGATATGCTTTTAACCCCTCAAAAGACCGTGTTGACATTCCTCGGTCCAAACGAACCCTCTACTCTTCTTAATGGTCTGAAAGAAAGGAGCCACTCGATCACCTATCTTTGACAAGAAACGACTGAGAGCAGCAATCCTTCCGGTGAGTTGCTGGACCTCCTTTACATTTCGCGGAGGCTCCATCTCCAAAATCGCCTTTACCTTTTCTGGGTTAGGCTCGATCCCTCTCTGGCCGACCATATGTCCTATGAATTTACCCCCCTGCACCCCAAATTTGCATTTCTTGGGGTTAAGGCGAAGCTGGAACTTCTTCATGATCTTGAACACTCCCTCCAGGTCGCGAGCATGAGACTCCGTCCGTTTGGACTTGACAATCATGTCGTCCACATACGCTTCCATACACCCCCTAGTACCGGTGCGAACAGCTTGTTCACCATCCTTGCATAGGTCGCCCCAGCATTCTTCAAACCAAAAGGCATCACCTTATAACAGTATACCCCATTGGGGGTGATGAAAGCGGTCTTTTCTTCATCCGCCACTGCCATCTTGATCTGATGGTAGCCACTGAATGCATCCATGAAACTCATCAGCTCACATCCTGCCGTCTCATCAACCAACTGATCAATGTTGGGAAGAGGAAAAGGATCCATCGGGCAAGCTTTATTTAGATCAGTGTAATCGACGCACATCCGCCAGGTATTCCCTTTGGGTGCGAGGACTACATTTGCCAACCATTCCGGGTAGCGGACCTCCCGGATGTGCCCAATGGATTGCAGGGTGGTCACCTGCTTGGTGACAAACTCTCTCCGTTCTGAGGAAAGGAAACGCTTCTTCTGTTTGACCGGCTTATGGGTCGGATCCACTGCCAACCTACGGCAGATAATTTTTGGGTCGACCCCTGGCATATCCTCTGGTCCCCAAGCGAATAGCACCTTGAATGCTCGGAGGACCTCCAATAACTGCTCCTTTAATTCAAGCGGTAAGGTTTGCCTACCTTCACCTTCTGCTCTGGCTCAACCAGGTCCAAAGAAACTTCCTCGACCTCTTCCGCCGGCTCAGCTCGGGGTCGCCCCTCCTCCTTCTGGATCGCCGCACAGATCGTGCTCACATTCTCGTCGACTCGGGCTTGGCTTTTGGTCGCCCTGACGTAGCACGATCGTGACAGGCTCTGGTTCCCTTTTGCTACCCCCACCCTTGTGGGAGTGTTGAACTTTAGGCATAAGTGGACGGGGGAGATTACGCACTCCAGGTCCTCCAACCCTGGTCATCCCAGAATCAGATGGTGTGCACAGTCGAGCTGTACTACCATAAATTCCATGTCGACCCAGAGTCGGTGGGTGCCATCTCCTACCCCGGCCTTTACCGTGATAGTTCCTTTTGCTTCGATAGTATCCCCTGTAAATCCTGACAGCGGCGTATGGATTGACTTTGTTGAAACACGGGCATGTCACGTTTTCGTACTAAAGCCGTGTTTGTTTTTATGACAGGTTTTGATAATGCCAAACCGCCGTGATCAAGTCAAACTTTGAATATAAAAGGCGAAGAAGGAAGACAAGAACAAGAGCTAAAAGAAGACCAAGAACGAAGACCTTAGTCTTAGTGTCGTTGAGTCGGTCTTCATTGTGATCAAGACCGACCCAATCTTTACACCTTGGCTCTTTATGCTAAAAACCTTCATTGCACTTCTTTAATCATAAAAATATTTTTCAAACATGTTTAAGTCATTAAAAACACTTGGTGTTCGCCCAAACCAAAAACCAAGCCATCCGGCGTTCGGGTTTCAGAAACTGGCGTTCGGCTCTCGGTTATCGGCTATGGTTTTTGGCGTCCAAACCAACCAAGTGGTTTTCAACTTTTTATGATTGGTTTTTACTCTTTGGCATGTTTAAACGGTTCTCCAACAAAAACACC